TTCTGGAGTATATTTCATTTGCAGAAGTAATTCCATTATTCCATAAATATAATATAGTTTGTCGTTGTATATTTTTTTCTGAAGATGACATTGTAAGAGTTTTTTTATAAAAAAAAATTAATAAATTGAAGTTTTAAGAGTATATATATATTTGTTAAGATATGTTATTTACATGTTTAAAATTTCACATGAATTGCTTTTGTTTTTGAAAAAGTTATTTATATTTATGTCACATAAATAAAATTCCAAAAATTTTTGCAATACACTGTAGTTGAGATATTGGTAAGTCAGGTATGAAGCCTGCTCCAATTTTGTTAATTATTTTGATATTTGTTTAATTAAAGATTACTGAAATCTGCGCAGGATACAGTTATGTACTTTTCCAATCCAATATATTGTCAGTTAATTGTGATTGTAATTGTTGTTATTGTTATTGTTAGGGCTCCTAACAATATCACTTAGATACCACTTCGATACTTAAATTTATTATAAAAATATATGAGTAGATCACAATCCATATATTAAATTTACTATAGATCGGTACCATTTCAATACCAGTTCAATATCAGTTCGATACTTTTTCGAAACCCTAGTTATTGTTAGTATATGAGTATTTTGTTAAAAGAAACTAGTTGAAAATAGATTTGAACAGGTTTGATTTTGTTATTAAAAAAGTAAAGAAATTTGATTAATTGTTAGTTATATGTTAATATTTTGATAGAGTAAAACTGAATATAGTTTTTTTTTTTTGAAATAGTAATAAGGTGAAAAGATAATATGTATTGTTGTTTTTGATAAAAAAAGAAAAAAAATAAATAAAAAAGAAAATTTGTAAAGGTTGTGTTAAAACAAAAATTAAATCCAATAACTTTGTTTGAATGTATAGTCAAAGATATATTTGTAAAAAAAAAAGAAAAAAAAAAAAGAGAAAGGTAATTGTAATAGTTATATTAAAAAGAAGGTTTTTAAAGACAAAAATTATGAAGAAAAAATGCCACAGGCCTTTTTCCATATAACCAAAAGCTAAAAAAAACTTCCAACTTGTTTAGGTCTTGACCAGAGATTCTATTTCACTGCAACAATATTTCTTAAATCTTTATATTCTTTGTTTAAAGCTTAGTTGTCTTAGAAAAATAAAGAAAAAAAAGTGCTTCTTGAAAAAAAATTTTCAAAAAATCAGTGATGAATGGATGAGAGTTTTGTCTATATAAAAATTTATTATAATTAAATAAAAATAGTTGTTATATATTAAACTTTTTATTTTATTAATAAAAACAACCTTTATATATTAAGTAAACTTGTTTCTTATAATGAATTTTATATACAGTGAACCCTCTCTAAATGTACACCCCTCAGGAACATAGGAAAATTTTTGAAAAATGTGCATTTATAGAGGATGTGCATTTATAGAGAATGTGCATTTATAGAGGATGTGCATTTATAGAGGATATGCATTTATAGAGAGTGTGCATTTATGAAGGTAATTTTATTAATGATTCTATATACTTGGGACCAAGCTTGACTGTGCATTTAGAAAGAGAAAATATAGTAAGTGCATTTATAGAGGGTGCATTTAGGGAGATTTCTCTGTATATTAAATTAAAATATTTGTCAATACATTATATCTCACTTTTTTGTCATGTCGTTTTTGTTCTTCTAATCTTATTTATGAAACATTTTAAAATTTTTGGGGAAATTTTTTATTTAATAAACCCTCAAAAATGCATCGACATTGACGTTCACCAATATATACTATTTAAAGAACTAAACAAGTTTAGGCACGTGGAATATCGTTAAACATGAGAAAATTAAATTGCTATATTTGGAAGATGGTTATTAATTTCGAGTGACACGCATAACTTTGTAAGTGAAATTGAATTGCACACTTACATGCCTTCTCTCATTTAATCCACTGCCCTTTCCTTTCCTTTCCTTTGTATTTTCAATCTTTATTTATTAAAAAACATAACATAAAAAAATGACCGTGTATGATGCCCATCAAAGTGATTCCGACGATGACGTGTTTGAATATAGCATGAGCCTAAAGAAAGCGAAGGAATTGTTAAAAAATCCGCGTTCTCGTCAAGTTATTACCCTTGCGAGTTGTGGCAAAAGGGTCGGGGTTTGTGAAGTAGGAGATCCTAACGGTTTTCCGGTACTTTGGTTTACAGGTATATGCCTGCATTCTTTGACGCACTCCGGTGCGATGTTACTTATTGTCTTGTTAATTTTTATCCTGGTGTTTCGGCTGATTTAGAAAAATATTTATAGGAAATATGGGTCCCGCGATGTCCATCCTGTTATACCACAAAATCTCTAAGAGGCATCACATTAGATTGATTTCGGTCGATAGACCAGGGTATAATGACAGTGATGACATTTACTCGCAACCTGGTGTTCCAGACCTGTTCGAATTTGCAGATATGATAAACGAGTTGACACTAATATTAAAAATGTGGCAGTTCGGTTTCGTGACATTTTCCTTGGGTGCAGTCTATGGATTGGCCTATTCCCTCAATTTCCCAGAGAGAATCAAAGGACCCATATTTATGATTAGCCCTTGGTTGTCTACCAGCACTCCTGGACACCTGAGATATTACAAGAGTTCGTATCTCTGTATTCACTTCATTATGTACACATGATTTTGTGCTAAAAAAATTATCTCAAAATTTTCAAAGGCATAGCGAAATTCGCCCCAAATTTTCTTATACGTACAACGCTCAGCACCCTACCGCACATGAACAATTTCTTTAATATGTGGAGTACATTAGGATTCTCATCACGTTCCACATCATCGTCTGTTGATGAAGATTCAGAATTATCGGATGAAAATTTAGGCTATACCATTTCAATGGGTCGAAGTTATATACACAAGGAAATATATGCGAATGGTCTTTGGAATTTACAAAATAGGACAGGCGCTCACATTGATGCCATGGTAGCATTGGAAAAAGTCGAATGGGATTTTCGTTATGAGGATACCGTTTATCCGGTCGAAGCTTATGTAGGCGATGAAGATGATAATGTGCCATTACAAGCATGGTTGCATATGAGCAATAGAATGAGTAATGTCAAACTGAATGTTGTTGAAGGTGGCGGTCATTACCTATTGTACAGAATGGACTTCATGGAGGACTTATTTACAAACATTGAAAAAGTTTTCAACATATAAAAGGATGTAAATATAATGAATTAGGAGGTCTTCCAAGAATTATTTTTATCATTTAATTATTTTTCTATCATTTTTAGACAGCATTATCACTTAATATTATGTAATACGCATATATCTTATTTTACATTCATGTTTTTGTATTTTATTCATACATCACACGTGACTTAACATTATGAATGAAAATCGTTTGGAGAAATCCGACATACACTTTATATATAATACGAGTCTTTTTTCACTTCGTTGCACGAAACAAAGGGCATAAAATTAAGTAGAGTCGATACCATTCTCATGATATTGCTACCAAGACAGCTGATGGAACAAGACCTATTTTGAAAAATAAAAAAAGAAACATACATAGAATCATTGACGAAGATGGTAAATTTTTGATGAGAAAGCATGCTCAGCGTACCTAATTCTTTTAAGGTCTTTCCCATTTCAGAATTTCCAAAAATTCTTCTGTAATAACGATGAACCAAAAAATCGTCTTATTAACGTGTGATTATTTTAACCAAGTTTTTGACACACACAAAAGTACCTTGGAAATGTCGTCGCAAGTTGAAATGGGCCAATAATGTGTGGAGTAACATGATCGTATACAACTTGTAAGGTATCAGTAGATTGAAAAGTATGAGTAATAGGTTGACCATCCGGTCGTCGAATCTTTAAAATTAAAGGTTATTGTCATTAACATTAACCGAATATGCCCATCATTTATAGATTATTAGCAAAGAACCTGTAATCGTGCTTCGGTATATTCCTTCGACGCCTGAGCAACTCTGGCAGCTTCGGCAGCCTCCTCCTCTTGCCGATGTTGTAAGTTTGCTTGTTTTGCAGCTTCACGCTAATAAGTGATGTATATACATCTATCAACGATGATAGCTTTATTTACTTGTGATCTTATATAAACCATACCTTTGCAGCTCGCTCTTTTTTATCGGCCTCAATTTGTTCCTTTATTTTAGCTTTTGCAAGTCTTTCTTCTTCCTTTTCCTTCTTCTTTGCCAACAATGCCTTTTGCATTTCCCTCTCTTCCAATTTTTCTCTAGCATCTGTTAACTCTTTGCCCGTCTTTCTTCTAATTTTTTCGCGGTTCTTTTCTTCTTCCTTTTCTTGAAGTAGGCGTAACTCGCGCTTTTCAGCTAAACGTTGTTTTAATTCTGCCAACTTTTCGGCTTTCTCTTCCTCCGTCAATGGTTTGATGGCCGTAGTTGATTCAGAAAATTGTACATGACCTAGAACGTTGTGTGTTATCAATCTCTATGTATACAATATCTTCTACCGTATAGACTTGTAATTACCAGTCTTAGTTGCGTGTCGTTCTGCAGCACTTGCTAAAATCAAGGTTGTTGTCAGTTAATAAACTTACAGATACACACCAACAACATGATAATTCTAATTCTTACCATCGCGAAACAACTTCTGACATTCATCACACATCAATGATTGAGCTGTTTGTTCTCCGTCTTGAATTTCTCCATCTTTATAATTGAATTCACAAATTACGCCTACGAAACAAAAATGGATAGGAAAATCGTCAAAGAAATTTACCATCCTCTTTAGAAGATGATGCTTCCGCCGGTTTTCCTGATGGTTCCCCACCCAGAGTTTCTCCTTCCGCCGGTTCATCGAGATCGCCAGGATGAGCAAGCAACCTAAAGATAAAATAAACACCAGGTTAGAATTTCAAACGCGATGTTGCTTATGTACAAATTTTATCGACTTGCCAATCCATCGCGGGTTGTAGACCTGCATTTTTTGTGACTTTTAATGCACGGGCACTAAAGTGAAAAGTTGAAACGTAAAGAACACTCTTTATGAGTTGCGTATGTCCAAGTAATATCATGCCCGAAATGTTAGATTCGTATAAACGTTACATAGAGAGTCTTCATACTTACACCTTGTCTGCTGGGAAGCCCATGCCAACCAATACGTCATGATCCGAAGCTGAGCTCATGTTGAAACGGTGGAAGAGTTTGTTGTCGATAGTTAGACATACGTTTTAGATATCAGTCACACAATTTGTCACATCTAAAAATTTAGCATATGATTTTCGTTTGTTGCACAGTCAACACGATTACTTTTTTTTTTTGCCATAAGTTTTAGCTAAAATGCATGGCATTCCCTTATAAGCAAAGCTGTTGTTGAGGTTTCTATTAAAAACATATAAAATAATGAGTTAAAGTACTTTTGACAATGACAATCACTTACTAGATTACTCTTCGGTTCGCAAATTCTTGGTATGAAAAATGATTCAACAGCTGCGCTCAAATGAGAATGTTTACCTCGGAGGAATAATCCATTATTAACTTATTACATGCAAATATATAGTATATTAGTTTTAATTAGCTTATTGATGTTTAAAAATATATTAATATTTATATACTTTTATATTATATTTTCAACTTATGCAACTATAAAAAAACTCACTTTTGATTATATTTATTTATTTTTTTTTTTGGAGGGTTTCCTCAGTAGGTAAACATCATTTCTTTATTTGATATTGTATATAACAAGATATATATCATGAAAGAAACAACATTTCTTGGATGCATTGTATACAACAAGTTAAATGCTAACTTGCCTACTTTACAATATCTAACTAATATTGTAAAAAAATTCAAAATCAATATTAATGTGTTAGATAAGGCTAAGTAGTGACTATACCTACTATCCTAGGAAATTTGGCAAATTCTTTTGATTTTTTAAATGTAAAAAATTAAAAATAAAAATAAAAGTAACTATAACTAAAACTAAATTGAATATACTATAAAATTTATAAATAGAAAACCAATTATTTTCCTAAGGAAGCTCCAGATAGACTTGTTGTCTCATCTCTCTGGCTTTTCAGTTACTATAGATAATGAAGTATATGTGATGTTGTTTGTTATTATAGTTGTTGATAGTGTGTTAGTTGTTGTTGTTGTTGTGATCATTATTGTGGTACAAAACCGGTTTAAGCTTGTTCAAGTTTTGTTTTGATTTTATAGTGAAATCTGATTGGATAATTGAAAAGCACTGATCATCTTGAGGGGGTAAATTGATTTCGGTTTTTGGGGTGAAAATTTTTTGGAAATTAATAAATTATATTATATCTTAATTTTCAAAATATGTTTATTTTAGAATGAATTAAATAATATTAAAAATTATTATTATTAATTACTTTTTTTTTTTTTGAAGGAACAGTTAGTTTTCATATTTTATTTTATTTTATACTTTTAGACTTGCAATATAAGATTTATAAATCTATGGTATAATATATATTTCTTTTTGTCAGGAAAAGTTAAACATTAGGCTTAACATATGACCTTTTTACCTAAACTCCTTAGTACTACTCAAGAATATAGAAAAATAAATTTTAAAACCTATATTAAGCCTTAAATATTATTTAACTATCTAGAGAATTTTGATTATTTAATTATATGAAGGTGCTGCAACCATCATATACAGGTTGGCCTTCAAGTCATAACTAGAATTGATACACTTACTTTTCAAATATGGCTTGATATACAACAAGTGGAGAATGTATTTCACCTTAAACTTTATCTAAATAACTTGCTTAAATAGCTGAATAGTTACTATTCTGATTAAAACATTCAGTAGAGATTGGCCTTTTATCTGACTGACTAGTATTTGATCTTTTCTATTCTTTTAGGATTGTGGCAAGTTACAGGTTATCCAAGTCTGCAACAGTTATCTATATTTGTAACAAGTAGAAAAGAGAACAATTATTCTTTATAGAAAGCTTCATACACATAGTTACACTATTCAAGTATTTGAAAAAGATCTAGTATAAGTATAAGGCAGGAGAAGATAGAAGAAAAATATTAGACGTGTAGTAATAGTTGTTAAGAAGAATTGTTAGATATGTTAAAGTTGAAGTTTTTTATAGATATTGTTACCTAATTTTATATATTGAAATTACTAGCTCATATTGTGGGAATAACTAGAATTTCTGGTTTTTACATATTATATTACTATGTTATCCAATCATCAGCATAATACTTACAATTAAACTGGTTGCATTAATATTGGTTGCCATATTATTCTGAATACTATAAAAGACAACTTCTTGGAAGCTTCAGACAATAATAGTTATACATCAGTTTTTTTGATATATCTAGTCTAACCATTAGCAAGTAAACAATATCCGGTTTAGTAATAATAACCATATCAATCTTTTGGAGAGGGATAAGTCCTCTATTCTTTTTCTATAAAGCTATAAAAGGGAAAAAATTCCAAAGCCCATATTTTGAGAGAAGTTGTTAATTTCTGATATGATTCTTGAGAGAAAAGAGTCAACTGGCCAGAAAGTTGATGTTATGAAGTAGTCTTTATAAAAAAAAAGAAAGGTCTAAAAAGGAAAACCTTTAGAAAAAAAGAGAAAACCTAGCTTTAGTAAAAAAAAAAGAAAAAAAAAAGAAAAAAAGTAAAGTAAAAAAGAGAATATTTTGAAGAGAAAGAAAAAAGAAGCAAAAAAAAATAAACAACTCAAAAATTCCTAAAAAGGAAATTTTCAAGTACAGAAAAAGAAATGGAAAAGAGTTTTATTATTATTATTATTAATTACTTGTTTTATATTATTTGGTATTCTATATAAAATATTAATTTTATTTATATTATTTAAATTATCTTTTGATATTAAGTATAAATAGTAAGGTTATAAATAAGTAGATAGCAAATAAATATTTGAAACTTTTTTATTTCAAGTAAATTAGCTAATGTTATAAAAATTCATAAAATTTTTTTTACTTTTCCTTAAATGCTAAAAAATTTTCTTTTAGAAAACTTTTGAATTGTTTACTTTTTTATTTTTATTTTTATCTTTTATTTTTTTTTTTACTTCCTTTCTCTTATTTTTCTCCTCTATTCTATAAACTTTTTTTTTAACTTACTCTCTTTTCTATTTTTTTTTTCTCTTAAAAGTTTTTTTTTCTAGATCTCCTTCTTTTTTAAATACTATTCTATTTTATTATTTTTTGATTGATAAATTTTTTTTTAAAAAACTATTAAAAAATAGCAACTTTTCTTAAGATATAAGCTTTAGAAAATTTTTTTCTTTATAATTTTCAGAAAAAAAATAAACAGTTTGTTTTTTTTTAAAAAATTAATATGATTATTATTATTAAATTCAATATTTTTTACTGATTAATAGTTAAACTAGATATATCCAAAAAGTTATTATATAATTATTATTATCTAAATCTTCAAGAAGTTATGTCTTATAATATTCAAATGAAATAGTAGTTAATACTAATACAATTAATATTGTAGATATTATATTGATGATTAAAAAACCTAGTAAGATAATATATAAAGATTAGAAATTTTAATTATCCTTGCAAATAAATTAATAATAATAAGATAGGTTTCTCAAATACTTTTTAATAATATAAATCTATTGTACAAGATTAGGTAACAATATCTATAAGAAATATTTTAATCTCATTTTATGTTAAAATATTTTTTTAATATATTACTATTTTATATCTAAATATTTTTTTCACTTCTTTTTTGTCTTATACTTGAGCTTGATTTTTCTCAAATATTTAAATAATATAACTTTTATATGAAGTATTTTGTAAAGAGCAGTTGTTCTCTTCTTAACTTAAATCAGATCTGATCAATTTAAAGCAGTTCTAAAAAGAGTTAAAATAATCAATTTTAGATATATTGAATAAAAGATTAATTTCCATTAGTAATGTTTAACCAAAAAAACAGTATTTATCTATTTAAACAAGTTATTCAAATAAAATATATAGTAGAACAATACTTTACTTGCTATATATTAAGTCATATTTAAAAAGTAAGTATATTAATTTTAATTATTATTTGAAGGCCAACCTGTATATAGTAGTTACTGCACCTTTATGTATTTAAGAAATTAACTACTTTATAAAATTAATCTATTATATAGTTCAATATATAATTTTGAAATTTTTTTTAATATACTTTATATAATAGAAAAGTAACAAATTAGTTAGATTTAATATAAATAACTGATAAACCTATTGAAATAATATAGAAATTGAATATTATTTTAATTATAGTTTATATTTTTTTTAAGATTATCAGCAATAAAAAATAAATAATAGTTTATTATTTTTAATAAAATAAAGTTTTTTTTAAAAAAAATTAATAAATTCAAAAACTCTTAAACAATTCAATCTTTTTATTAATTATAAAAAAAAATAAAAATAAGTTTATTAAATCTTTTATAAATACAAAAAAATGTTTATTTTTTAAATATTAATTAAATTTATTATTTATTTTAACAAATTTTTTTTTTAAAAATTTTTTAAAAATTTATATCAAAAACAAAATAAATTTATAATTAAAGAAAATAGTAAACAAACTAAAGTTTATATTTTATTAATTGAAAAAAGTTTTACAAATAGAATTTTTTATTAGTATATTATATTAATAAAAAATTAAATAAAGAAAATTTTATAATTAGAATTTTATAATAATATAAATTTAAATATAAAGGTTTTAATATATAGATATACTTATTATTCTATATATTTTATCAATTGAAAATTAAGACTCCTAATGATATTACTTTGATATTACTTCGATACCAATTTGATATTTAAATTTACTATAAAAACATATGAGTAGGTCACAATTTATATACGTATTAAATTTACTATAGATCAGTACCATTTTGATATCAGTTCAATATCAGTTTGATATTTTTCGAAGCCCTATTGAAAATTAATAACTTTTTTTAATTTTTAATTAACTTTTAAAAAAAATAATTATGAAAATAATAACAAATCTAAATATAATAATATTGATATTAATAAAATAAATAATAATAAAATATTTGATAATATTGTTTTAAATAAAAATAATTTTAATATAAAATTAAAAATAGTTATTTATAATTTTATTTCATTAACATATAAAATATTAAAACTCTCTTCTGATCATGTTTATTTTGTTAAAAAATTTTCTTTTATGGTAATTTTAAGCAAGAAAAAATATCTTATACTTTTTATCACAAGTGAGTTTCAGCTTAGGAACTCAAGAATCTTCAAGACAACTGATACAGTAGGATAGAACCTCTGGTCAAATCTATTCAAGTTTGGAAGTCTTGCTTATTCTTTGGTTACATGAAAAAAGATTTGTGATAGTTCTCTATTCTTTTGTTCTCTTGCATCCTTTTTTATTCTTATTCTATTATAAAAATTATTCACATTATTATCATTATACTTGCTAAAACAAATACTTTCCAAAATACTTACTCAAATAGAGTTGGTGAGTCTATTGTTTGTTTCAAGTTAACTCATAAATTTATTTTACTATAGCAATATTTACTATACTATCTCAAATTCTTCAATATTTTTTCTTGGTCAAAAAACCAAAATTAGCTTACCTTCTATAGATAATCAATACTTCTCAATCATCCAATCAGATTTTGTTTAAAAATCAAAACAAAAACCAAACCTGTTTATACCATTTTGTATTATAATAACAATTATAACAATAATTACAATAACAATATCAATTGCATATCTATTAACAACTATAACAACAAACAACTTCATATATACTTCATTATCTATAGTAATCAAAAAGCTAGAAAGATAAGATCACAAGCCTGTCTGGAGGTTTTTTTGAGGAAATAATCAGTTTTCTACTTATAGATTTTATAATTTATTTGATGCAATTTTAGTTACAGTTACGTTTATTTTCTTTTCAACTATTATATATTCAAAAAATTAAAAAATTTCACAAAATTTTCTGAGTTGATAGGCATAGCCACTATTTAGTTTTATCCAGCATTATAATATTGCTTTTGAGATGTTTTATAATATTAGTTAAGTAATGACTAAGTAAGCAAACTAGCATTAAACTTTTCTGAAATAATAAAAGAAATGTTGTTTCTTTCATGATATATACTTTATTATATACAATATCAAATAAAGAAATGATGTTTACCTATGGAAAAAATCCAAAAAAAAAAATTATTTCATTAACAAATAAAAATTTACTATTATCTAATTTTAAAAAATTTTCTATTGAATCTTTAGAAAATATAAATTAAAATAATAATAAATTTTATATTTCTAATAAAAGAAAAAAAAATTCATATTTTACTATCTAATAAAAAAAAAACTTTTTCATAACATTTTCATATATAGAAAATTGTCTTTTTAGGAAGTTTCTTTTTTTCAAGAAACTTTGTCTAACAGAATATATCTTTGGAAATAAATATAAACTGAAGAAATAATTTAGAGCAGTAGAGTTTCAAATATAAGATTGGCCTCTGGGATTTTAACAATGACCTATACTAAAAGATCTAGTAACTGGTAATGGCACTGAACAATAACTTGAAATAGAGAAGATAAACAAAAAGAAAAATTTTTATATAAAGGCCATCTCTATATACAACTTACCAAATATTTATTATCCTTTTTAATCAAACATATCTTTCTCAAGAAGCAGCATTTTATTTTTTTCAGAGTTTTTTGTTTTTTGCTAATGATAACTAATTATAAGTAGTATTGAAATTTTATTTTTAAACTAAAGATGTGAAAATTTATATAAAAAATTTTATGATATTTTTTTTTTCGCTATGAAAGCAACAATATACATTTCTATTATAAAATAGATAGATATTTACGTTTTGAGTGATATAAATAAATCTAGTTATGATGTAAACTATACAAATTGCCTTGCGCAAATCCAAATATGTATGTATACATAAATTCTTGTCTTCATAAACCACAGATGCAATTTATCCTTCGAACTTATTTCTTTTTTCTGTTTTTACGCATGACCACTCTCCATTCCTCTTCCCCTCCGCTGTTGCTATTATTACTACTCGAATCTGATCCGTCCTTACCAGAATAAGCGAACGCAAACTCATGGTGTGTTTTACTCGATGTATGGCGATGATGCGAAGGCTTATTACCATTTACATCATTACTTGCCTTTCGTAGTTGATCATCTCCGGATTCAACTAATTCTTGTTCGCTGGCATCATCGACTTTTGTTGACACATCATCGTCATCATTGAAATCATAATATTCCTCTTCACCTTCCTCTCCACTACTGCTTTCTTCCTCCACGACCACAAAACTTTTTTGTCTCTCACGCTCGTTCCAACGTAAACATCTGGAGATTGAGTTAAACCAATCTCGCGATTGCGATTCGTGGCAGACTGTTGGGTACGGAAATTTTGAGGGAGTGACTTTTATGTGATCACCCTCTGTTAATTTTGATAACACAAGTAAATAATAGTGTTCAAAAATCAAATTTGTAAACGAGAAATGATAGTCGAAAACTCACGTCGCAACTCAATTCTACCTCGTCCATCAAAACTTGCCCATGCAGTGCTACGACTATTATACGGAACACATATTCTTAGTTCCATGGAATCTGGCAAAAGCATTGGCCGAAAAGATAACGTGTGCGGACAAATTGGGGTAATCAACAGTGCGGATATTGCTGGATGCACGAGTGAACCACCTGCCGACACAGAGTATGCAGTTGAGCCAGTAGGTGTGGCGATGACAAGCCCGTCAGCTTGAACCGTCGTCAAGTGCTGGTCATCACCTATGAAACAAGTAAATAATTGTAAGATAAAATCCAGCTAATAATGAAACTTATAATTCAAACGATTGCTCACCAAACAATTCGAGCATACTCATGTATGGATCGGCCCCACGGTCCACCACCAAGTCATTTAACACCTCAAAAGATTTCTCTGGTTGAGTGACTAGACATGGCAAATCTTTGTCTTGAGTGTATCGACGAACGGCATCTGCATGTGAGGTAGACTCGACGGCTTCCCAACTTCCACCATCATTCATATAACGTTTCATCATAATTTCACCAGTTTCGGCACATCGTTTCGCTTTAATATTGGTATTTGGATTCGCCACTCTGCGATACACGGTGCAAGTGAAACGCATCCTTAAGTTCACTCGAATGCCTTTCTCCATAGCGTTTGTAAGATGTTCCTTATAATTCTTCATATCAAAATTTGTCAAAAATCCAAGTGAACCCATGTGAAAGGGTAAGACCGGTGGTACAATTTTTTGAAACAACCAAGATGTATACAGCACTGTTCCATCACCACCAAGCTGATTAATTAAAGGTAATCATTATATTAGGTCAATCCGAAAAAAAAAAAGAACATCCAGCATTCAAATCATATCCTTTTACCGTTAGAACAAGATTAAATATCTCTGGCCGTTCAGCACACAACTCATTGGTCCAGAATTTCAAATAATCTTTAACCAATGGTGATTCTTCTAACATTCCTTTATAATCAAATCTTTTGACATCTTTTAATATTATGTCCACGTACACGGTGACACCATGATCTTTACCAAAGCGAGGATTGGTGATTAGGTACATGGCCAATTCGCGCGTAACCTTAATCGAGCGTGCATCACCAGGTTTCGTGACTATCATGACAGTTTGCATGACGCCTTGGATACGGGCCTGACCTATTGTCGTATTAGAAAAATACACAAACCATTATTTTACCATCAAACTGAATGATTGTTCGATGATGTTATAATGAAAAAATAACATACCAAGCTTCTTGGATAGCTCTCGTACGCTGACAGCAGTTTCCGCCAAGTTTGAATATTCCGTTAGTTCATTATCACACCTGTTGATAATTTCGGATATTGAAAGCGTTTGATCGATACAGGAATGAACGAAACAGGGCGACTTAGGTGTTGGTGACAGAGCGGGCAATTCTGAATGAGATAAACTCAGGTTCTCACGTGGCTTAGAACATGGTTTTAGTCTGTTCGACGAAGCCACGACAGGTAAATTCGGACTAGGAGGTTTTAGCTTTATCTTTTTTTCGTCACTTTTCATTTCATTCAGCAACAGTTTTTTTTTATTACTTGAGAGATTTGTTTTTGACGTCGTCATTCTGTTGTTAATAAATTTGAGGAGACGATACGACGAATTTTCTAGGCAGCTATTGTGTTGATGTTAAGGCTGGCATAATCATTAATGGGGATTTACAACAATTAGTTACGTCATAATAGAGAATTAATCATTATAAATTAATTCGATGGGCGGCTTACAAAAAAAATTGGATTGATCGATAAGTTAGGATCACTGAATTTGCTGTATTGCTCAAAGACAAGATCATGAAGAATACTCCGCGTAAAGTTAATAGCAAAGATTTTATACGAAAAATGTAATGCAATTTATCATATTCAAACGCAAAACTGTCTCGTTTCGTGTTACCCAGCGTGCATGACAGAAACTTCCTCAACTGCCTGAAACAATATAATACCCAGGCTACTGTTTATGTTAGTTTAAAAATCAATATAACCCTAGTAAGAATAGTTTGTTTTGCTTTCGGGGTATTTGTCAAACTCAGGAACAGGATAAAAAAAGATCACAAGACGCCAAATACACATTACTCTGGGAATTGGCATTTTTTTCATTATCCATAACTTAGGCCATAAAAAGTCATTATTTGTGCCATACTTATATGTTGATTAGGCACGTTTTGATATTCAAGGTTTCAAAAGAGACGGAAACGGACAAGTTCTTTATTAAATTATTGTAATCAATGAATTTTTTTTTAGCTGTTTGAGAAAAATCTTCGTTAGTCGTGCATATTTGAAAGAAATCGATTCGTGGTCTCAAAAAAAGATTTAAGCATTCTTTCATAGTGCACCCGTCATACATTACACAGTGTGCAGATTTGCAATAATTTTACCGAAACATACATACTCGTCTCATTAAAGATAGGGGACCTGACGCAGAATTAAAAGTAACAAGTGTTTCGAAATTTGCTTAGGGCATATCTATTTGTCCGTGTGAATTCGACTTCCCTCGCATAGATGCAGTGTAAGTAAGATTAATTGAGAAGAGATATCGCCTAAGTGCCAAGCGAAAGTTGCAGCTTCATGATAAACAAGAGGCTCATGGATTTAAAAATGTTTCAACTTATCTTTTGATTTAATCGACCATCACTTATTTATACTAGAAGAGAAAAGAATTTAGTCTCGCAATGCTCATTTTGGTGTTCTAAAGATATTAGTAATCACACGCGTGTATAAAACAACGTTTATACTGTTATATTATTTGTACAAGATATGAACAATGCACGTTTTATTACGTCAGGAAGGTTTATATATAGAAATACGGAAAAAAACAAGATCAATATAGAGTATACTGTATATGTATAAGATATTAAATGAATTAATTTTTCTTTTTATTAATTCATTTTATTAAAATCAATTAAAAAAGCAATATATTAGAATTGTATATACTGTTAACTGAAATTGTCAAGGTTTTATAAAATTTTCAATAAATTCATTACATTAAAAAATAAATTTGGCTTGATTATTCCTTTGATGTGAAACGTTATCTTAATACTGTATTTAAAAATGTTAAGTTAATAATTAATATGTATTGGTAATAATGAAATACTCAATAAAAGTCACGCATTTATTGCTTGTTAAAAAAAAAAAAAAAGGTAGATAATTAATAATTATAAAATAAACAATTTTTTATTATAATTTTCAAAAATATTTTGAATTAATGACAAACAAAAAAAAGCTATCATAATTGTAAATAAAAAACAATAATTTATTATTTAAAAATTTATTACAAAAATATATACAATATACAGTATATAATATATTATTGTTTTTATTTTATTTTATTAATATTTTTTTTTCAGGTGAAAGATACTTTGTGCATATATATTTTATTGAGTTATTTATATTCAATTACATATATACTAAGGTCTATTTAAGTTAACCTTACTTTACACTATACATGTGGTGTAAATTATTTTGCTGTTAACCCAATTCTCAAAATCCTTAAAAATAATTGCATCATGACTCAATTATTTATATGTTTTAATAGTGACTCAATTAATTGCATCAAAT